TGGCGATCGGAGGAGTTTCCTGGAGGTTTGTTCTCATCGTAGATGGATTAAAGCTATCTTTGGAATGCTTATGAATTGCAGGAAATCCAGAATGTGGACCGAGGTTAGATTACGTCACGTCGATTCAAGTTCAAAATCCCTTCAGAATGGAGATGTACGGTTTCTTTCGACCTTCCTTTTCTGAAGTTAATTCACCTTACTCTTCATCAGCACTTGAATAATACTTTTGAATTTGTTCCAAATATTTTCAGTCTCCAATCGGCGACGGTGGACTTTTATCAGCAATTCAAGCCGAGCTGGACAAGCGCCGAGAATATATTGCAAGTGACAGCGATGAAGGTGAGCAGAATCGAAAATCTTTCTGATGGAAGACTCTGTGGGGCGGGTGGTGACTGATCTTGTCAATAACTACTCGACCCTCTCAGGAGTTAGAAACATCCTAGTGAAACTAAGAGAGAAAGCGCGCTGCTGTTCATACCTCGACGTTGAAAGGGGAGTGTCTGTGGACACTGTCTGTGAACTACAGACGAGGCCCCAAAACTGACCTGTGCCACGAGCGCTGAGCATGTCCACCTCACTCTATGTCAGCGGGTCAAACTACCTCAGACAAAGATTTGCAAAAAATTCACCTCCCTGGAAAAATTTGATCAAATTGTAACCTGAATTTCGGGAGGTGATAGAGTAAAGGATAAACAAAAGCAGCAAAACAAAAGAATTCAATTTTGTTTTTATCTTACTGGTATAATATTTTTTCTGAAGAATGGTTTTTTTTCAGAGTCTGACACAACGGACAGCGAATGGACAGACTGATCACGTTTCTGTATACATAGATTATTTACAAATAAATCCTATTGAAACGTTGTTTGTCAAATTGTTCCCAAACGATTATGCGAACCAATACCTAACGCTGTCGCTACCAAACGCACGGACCAAACTCATTATCTATCCCAGCTAGATTAACCGTGCCTTCTACTTTTCCGTCGATTAGTCGGTTCCATACTGATTGGGAGGAATGGAACTCTGGCTCGTTCATCAGTACTACTGAAATGAATGCCAGAGCTGAGATGAGCCGTGGCCCTACATGCCACGGCAGCACTACATTACGGCCTAGCAGTGTGTTTCTTGCGAGGAAAGCCATATATGCCGCGAGGACTCGGACCATTTCCGCTGTACGGCGGGCGCGTCTTGGTGGGTGGCATCTTCTTCTCACGTGATTAGGAGCTGTTAGGCGCAGTTCAGCGACGGGGCGGGGGGGGAGGTGGCAATTGCATTTTCCGGTTCACAAGTCTCAGTGGTGAAACCTGTGAACTCTTGTGGGTCTGGAGCAAGCTCGTCTAGCCACCATGATAGAACCTGACTAATGTAAGCTCATGGAATAGCCCTCTAAAGTGCTTGATACGTCTATGGGAAGTAGAAAAAGTGCAAAACTCCCCCCCCGTCGCCGAACTGCGCCGTGTGTTAGTTATATGAATGTGAGCTATTGGACTGATAAGCTCCGCTCCGTCAAATCGTCATTACTTGCTGATTTCTGTTCAAAAATGGCATATAAAAAATGCAGGACCAAACAAGTCACGCTGTTAAATTCTGGTCGCAAATATTTATTTATCAACTAAAACAACACAATTTTTCGGGTCGCCGGATGCCTGCATTCGGCTGCGAATCTCGGCGATTGGCATCATCATCGTTACGATCTTCTCGTCATCTTGCTTCTGGTAGAGCATCTCACCCTCAAAATCCACCAGACCGTATTTTCTCGCTCGTATCAACATGCCCACTAACTGAAATCGATTTTGCTGAACCTTGTCGATGACCAAGAGTTTGTTTGGGTTCTCCACACTTCCTAATACTATTCAATGCAGGACAGTGCTTTGAGGCTCGGGATGGCAAGGTGGCTCCTTCAAAGAGCACATCTTCCAGGAGAGCCGCGGGGCGTGGCAAAAGCGGGGTTGTCTAATCATAAATTTAGGACCAGCAAGAGGATCTATATGCGTGGGTGGCTGCGAGAGGGTTCCAGGCGAAAGGGGGCTGGACACGAATGTCAGTATGAGAAAAGAAAGTCGTGAACAGATACGCAGCCACGCTTCTTTCTGCCCTCCAATATTCACGGTAGGTAAGCGGTGTAGCGGCACATGTAATATAGGACTACAACAAAAGTGTCATATCGCGCGCGCGGTGGCACGAATCACGCGCCTCCTCGCAAGTCGAGTCTCCTAAACTACACCCTTATCAAGCTGAATGTTGCCGAGGATTTTCAAAAAGACTCTTAGTGAAGCATTTCGCAAGAAGCACTGTCTTACACTAGTGTAGTTCAGCTCACCTTATCTGAATAAAACGCATATACATAGAAGAGTTTTCCAAACTTGATCCATTTGTGAGGTTCTTCACCTTCGGCATTCTCGTTAATGATCTCGCAGAGAAACAGAATCTCTCGACAGACGTGTACACCAGCCTGAAGTTAATGATGAACCTAAACCTTTCGGATGTGACATTCATCTATTGTATTTTGTATTATTGAAGAAAAACCGTGATAGTCACTGGTCAGCAGCTTTAACTACTGATGTAGTGTGAATAGCCATCTAGCCTTGGACAAACATATGGTTAGAATCTTCCCAAAATGAAAAGATTCCCCAAAAGAGCAGCCGCCGACACGTTCAAATGAAGTACGCAGCCACGCCTATCCATTTCAACGATTTGGAGAATACATAGAGCTGCGAGTAGCGCCAATGAAGGTTGGTCCAGCCAATGAGAAGAACGTTGGCATGGAAGCCCTCGTCACTCGCTTTGACGCTGGTGAAA